TTTTAAAATTTTTTCCTGAGCGGGGGCTATGACATGACATGTCATGTCTTGTTGTTGGTGTTTCATTTTATTTTATTATATATTTCCGTTACTAACTTCAATTTAGTCTGTTGTTGGTTGTCTTTTAAACTATTGCCCATTGTAATTTGATTAATTTTTATCTGTAATTTTTTTGTTGTAACCTTTAACCTCCTTCAGTAGGTTGTTATGAGTTAATAAAAATTGTCACCCAAATGTCCTTCAAACTTATGTCATTTTTGCACTTTATGAGTTCTAAAGCTGTAGTATATTTATCAGACATTTCAATATACTTATTCTGCATTGATTCTAAAGTACCTTCATATTGTGCAAACATATTTTCTTCTGCTTAAAATGGCCTTCTATTACTTTTGAAACGCTTTTGTTTGGCGTGTTGATGGCATTATGTAATTTCTTTATAAATTCGTCTTGACCTTTACTTTGTTTATCTTTTGTTTTCAATTTTCCTTGACTTCCAACTATTTCGAATTTTCCGGCATTTACCTTGGCACGAGAGACGCCATCCGATCTGAATGGAACGTTTTGATGTCAGTCGTTCATAGCCCATCGTTAAAGCAACAACGCCCCTTTTATGAACAGATGAAATAATTTCAGCGATTTCTTTACCAAATAATCTTCGATGGAATTTAGAAACATTTCATAGAAAAATACAGGCTCTAAAATTATGTCTATCGCAAAACAATTTAACCGAAAGCCAGTTTGACGCCACAGTTTCTTGCTGGAGCTCAAGTTCGTGATTTTATTGCGTTTGAAATTGTTAAACTGTGCATGCACACACACTATGATTTCTCGAAATGCATACTAATTAGGTAACTTGTCACTGATAAAAGCCATTGAAAACATTTTGATCAATTTTGAGAAATAGTACTAGAGTGAATAAACATGCATCTGTATTCTCTATGAATTTCGTAATTTGATCAAGGTAAAGAATAAACCTGTGGTTACTTTCAACAATTTGCTGGAGTCTGATCAAATTTTTCATTGCTCATGAATATTAATTTATGCAAATGAGACATTATTTCAATCACTCGTGGTCTGGCTCTGATATCAAATTATTTAAATTTGTTGGAAGTAACTGTAACTTACAACAGTCTGCTTACATAGATACAGTAATAAACTTAAAATTATTTCAAATTGTTCAACAAAAGTAACAAAAATTAATGAGATGTTATCAGCTTACAAGATATATTTATGCAAATTTTGGTAAGCTCTTAATTAGTCATGCAACAGCGCCATCTAATTTTCCATCGCAAAAACAAAAGTTATAAATAATTTATCATGGTGGCACTGTCACCATGACAACCTTGAATATTTTGGTTGGTTTTTGATCAAATTTCTCATACATTACATTACATTATACTTGTATTATACATGTTGACATACATGTCCATGATGATTTGTTTCATGATTGGATTCAAAATAGTCGACTG